TAGCTATGTTATGAAAGAAATGATAACAATAGTGGAATTGAAGAGAAAGATAAAAAAATAAATTCACTATAAAATAAAGTAAATACAAGAGATAACAACTCCAAACAATTCTCTCAATCTTTACAAAATGCTTGTACACAAATTAATGAACAATCAAGCCTATTTATAGGTTTCAAGATTAGGAAGAGAAGCTTAAGGGACTATAAGTCTTTTAAAAGATGCATAAATAATTGAATAAATTATATCATCATGTCAATTTCTCATATTAAATGGTGAATTGAATCAAACGAGTAGTAGGAATTGAAATGGTCATGGACATTTATTATTTCATAACACTCCCTTTGAATGTCTATCGTATAAGGAACATGCATCGTTAAAACCTTACTAGAAAAAAACATAGTGGAAAAAAATCCTAATGAAGAAAAAAAAGTACAATATTCTTTGTACACATTAATCTCAATGTTGGCTCCTCTTGTTGAAAAAATCATTTGAGATTTTTAAGATATGTATTTCAATCTTGTGAATTATCTTTTTAAAAATTATGATAGGTAATACCTTAGTGAATGAATCAGTTGGATTGTCACCGGATCGAATTCTTCCTTTAATTGAATTATGCAAGCAACATTATCTTCATATGATATTCTTAGAACTTATTTGCTAATAGATAAATCGCATACCTCTCGAATATGATGGATCGTTGATCTTAACAAAACACATTATTAACTTACCTCATGAATTGGTATTTCTACATGGCTTGAATATTTAGTAGCTATAGCTTGCTTCATAGAATGTCATGATATAGCTATACCATCAAGTATAAATACATAACCCATTTGTGATCGAGTTTTATATGGATAAGATAAATAACCTACATTTTTAGGCTAATGAGATAACAAAATATAATTACATCCATCATAGGAGAATATATCTCCTCATAGTCAATGTTAGTTCTTTGTGAAAAATGTTACAAGTTTCACTTTGTATCTCACAATCTCTTCTTTTTTATTTTTTCATAAAAATACTTATTTGTATCTCACTAGCTTAAGATCTTCGAGTGTTTTGACTATGAGTTCAAAAACTATTCATTTATAAGAGAACATAATTTCGCCTAGATTACTCTTTTCATTTAGGCCAATCATCTCTATGTCAACATTCTTTAATAATTTTAGGCCCGGGATCCTTGTTTTCATTCAAGATATCAATTGAAATATTATATGTAAAAATCTTATCAATAAATGTTTCTTTTCGATCCTATTTTCTTTCCGTATTGATATAATTTATCAAAGTCTCTTAATTTTTCTCAAGCATTTAGACTTCTTCTAAAATCTATTATTAGAAATATCTTGGACCATTTTATGAACATTTGCATCCTTTATTTTAATTATTTTCTCTTTTCTTTTGGTGATATTTGCTTTTAGAACCAATCAGCCTTCTATGCTTTAGGCATGCTTTAGATTCATTAGCTATAACATTAATAAACTATCCTTCTAGGATATCAATTCTAATAGAAGCATTCTTAGCGAGGACATATATTTTAGTTACTCTTTTAGGATCTAAGAATGCATTTAGCAGTTGGTTTGTATTACCTTGCAAATGAATTATCTTCTAAACTTGTAATTCACATTATTTTATACTAAGTTGATATAAAGATAGAGTACTTCATATAATCTCTTTTTTCAATATGTTCAATCGCTTATTCTATCCCTCTAATGTTGAAAAAGCTGTTTTATCACAATGACGAGTCAACAAATCGAGTCTGTAAATATATCTCTTGTTTATGGTTCAAGATATTTAATTATCGAAAAAGATTCAAATCTAACATATATTTTCAATCTCATGTAAGTGCCCATTTCATTATAAGAGAGCACTATGGATATATACTTCAATGCCAAAAAAATTCTTAAACAAGAAATATTTGGCTCATGACCATAAACCAATTAAAAGGGAGAGAATTTTCAATAACTTATGGATCTAATGCAAACAAGTGTTACTACATGTAAGATTGTATGTCCTTAAACATAAATAGCAAGTTTTGTTTTTAAATAATGGTTAAGCTATCAATTATAGCTTTTTGATAAATGATTTTTTGCCAAACTTTTCTAAATATGAACATGAGCAATAGGATATTCAACATTTATTCTAATAGTCAATCAATAATAATTTAATGCTTAAGAGATAAATTCATCGGCATTATCAAAGCGAATTGTTTTAACGACATAATTTAAAAATTATACTTGTAATTGAATTATTTTGGTCGGCAATCTTGAAAGAGTAGATAATAAATATACATGTGACCATTTTATAGATACATCTATTAAAACCATAAAATATTTAAATGGCACACATGGTGGATGAATTGATCCATATATATCACCTTGAATATATTCTAAAAATATTAGAGATTCAACCTTAATTTTACTTGTGATGGCTTAATAATTAATTTACCTTAAAAATATGCAGAACATGAAAATTTATTAAATTGAAGAATCTTTTGGTTCTTCAATAGATGTTTATATGAATTTTTAATAATTTTTTAACCATGAAAGACCCAAGATAACACAACTGGTCATGCCACATAATAAAAGTATTTGAATTAGTAAATGTTTGTTTATTACAACATTCGTTTCAATAATTCCAATGTTTGTAATAAAGACCAAAAGAGAAAGCGGGCAAATTTTTTCAATACATATTTCTACCCAATATAATAATTATAATATATAAGTATTCAATATTTTTCATATTTGTCTGTCTTTATATGATATCAATTTAAATAAATATCTTTGGAACTCAATAAATTTCTATAAGACTTTAGAGAGAATAGTATATCATTTATAATAAAATTTATTCTTTCGGATAATAAGATATTTGCTCTTCTATAACCTTTAAATTATGTCACTACAAGTAATAATATATTCACTATTCTAAAGCCTTTAAAAGTTGTTTCTTTAAGTAATAATACATTCGCTCTTTTAGAGCCTAAAAAAATTGTCTCTTCAAGCAATAATACATTCGCTTTTTTAAAGTCTTCAAAGTTTATCTCTTCGAGTAATAATATAGTTGCTCTTTTAGAGCTTTCTTCTATAGCTTTCTATTAGATTAATATTATCATCTATAATATTAACATAGAATAAATAATTAAATAAATAAATAAACATAAAATAAATAAATATATTCTTTATAAAAATAAATAAATAAATAAATAAATAGTAAAATAAATTTATAATTATCTCTATGCAATAGAAATTATAAGAAAATATAAAACATCTTATTTATAAATAGAAAAACTAATAAGTTATTAATTTCAATTACCTCCATTTTGATGTATAAAATTGATCTCTATATTGTACTCTTTCTTTTTCAACGAGGCTTGATAAGGCTCAATGAGATGCTTTAGTATACAACGGCTATGCAACTAATGTCTATTCATGCCACATCTATAATATTCATTTTCGAATTCTAACTTGATCTATTTTTATTCTTTTCTTATTTTTTTTATATAGTTTATCCACTTTTGATGGTGAGATATATTATCATGATCATCATGATTATAATGATAATTATTTCGATCACATCTATGGCTATAATCAAGTCTTCGTTCATGTCTAAAATTATTATAAGTTATCACATTCACTTTAGGGAATGAAGTAGATCCGAGTTAGACGAGATTTATTTTTTTTCATCAATAGCTTTTCATTTTATTTAGCCATGAACAAGTATAAAATCGATTCAAACTATTTCTTAAACTCATTTTCTCGATATGCTATCGTAGGAACATATTCGAGACATAAAAAGTAGATGATATTAACTCGGCATCAAGCACTCGCGATTGATAATTCTCACCCAAAATGTCAAGAGCCACAAAATCAACTTTTATAATGGTTGATATCATAAAAATTTTATATTGCAAAGTATAATAATAATATTGTGAAATAAAGACAAAATTTAATAATAAAATTTAAATAAAAGCAAACATAATAACAAAATTTGAACTTTTCAAATACTATATAGTAGATTATTAGATTCTATATATTAAATCATTTACGTTTTTCATATGCATATTCTATGTATCATTAGATTTAAAGCACCGATAAATTAGATACATACCTCTTAATAATCTAAATAATTTAGATCTTTTGGTAGAGTACTTATGTAGAAGAAATCCATTGGTTGAAATAATTAATTAAGTCTTTTGGTAGATACATACCTTATGGTTTGTTGTTTCGATTGGTTAGAGCTTCGTGCGATAACGTGCTTATGAAAGAAATGATAACAAAAATGAAATTGAAGAGAAAGATGATAGAAAAATGAATTTACTATAAGATAAAGTGAATACAAGAGATAACAACTCCAAACAATTCTCTTAATCTTTACAAAATGCTTATACATAAGCTAATGAATAATCAAATCTATTTATAGGCTTCAAGATTAGGAATAAAATTTGAAGGGACTATGAACCATTTAAAAGATGCATAAATAATTGAATAAATTATATCATCTTTTTAATTTTTCATATTAAATGATGAATTAAATCAAATGAATAGTATGAATTAAAATAGTCATAAATCTTCATTATTTCATAACAAGCTAAAATAATATTACAAAACTAACTCAAACTCTATTCTACCCTTTAGTAGAGTACACTCTGTTCTAGAGTTGCTACGAGGAGTTTGCATATAAGGTGGAGTACAGTGCTAGCAATCATAAGTTCTAAGGAATACAATGCATGCATCGTTAATTAAATATTCATAAATTTCCAATTTTACATGCCTACATCTTGCAAAATTATGTCTAAGCATGACATCATAAGAAAACTCAAGTGATCGGATAAAAATGTAAGAGTAGCATTTATTTCGATATGTAATTCCATATTAAACCCAGGCCCATGGATGCTTTTTACGAGCTGGGCTAGATTAGAACAGAATGGATCGCCATTAAAACAGAATCAAAATTCGAAGGGTTCTCTGAACTTAATCAGAAACCTCGAATTCATTGATTCAGTAATGGCGGAACCATACAACGTTTACGATGCCCTTTCAGACAGAGGTAATTAATTTCTTCCTTCCCCTTAATTCTTAATCATAAATTTACTTGAGTTCCAAATTTTCTTGCAATAAAATCCGACCAAACCCTAAAGTACTAATGTATTGCTTAGAATCATAAATGTGAGCAATGAATATGAATTTTTGTAACCTTAATTTCAAATGTAACTGGGGGTTCTCTTTGTATTATTCTATCAGTTTGTAAAAATTTAAAACCTCTAGTGGGTACTTATGTTGCCTGGTTAGTTTATCAGTTGTTTTTATGTTTTGCTGTTGCCAATTGGTTTTCTTAACGAGACAAATGTTTGTGTTTTTTATCTTTGCTATTACAGGGTCTGTTTCAAGGCCTACTTTTTCAGGTCACTTCTCAACAGAAGCACCACAATTGGCATCTCATAGTATTCCGCTTTCTACTGAATTTCCTGGTGCTTCTTTGGATTTTCTACAAAGAGATGTAGAAGTTAACTTAACAGTGACTTTGTTCTAAGAAAGAAGTCTTTATTTATTTTCGATGCTTTAAGTTTATGGTTTTTGGTTGTAGATAAATCCAATGCGGCTTGCATCATATGGTTTGGATGGTTATTCAGGTGTTGGAGTTTGTCCTGAACCTCTCATTGGTGGAGTAATGCCAGGAGCTGGTGGAAAGGGTTACTCATCTCCGCTAGAAGATCCCAGTTTATTAACCCAAAGAGGGGACGCTTCAGTTTGTGCTGTTGGTGGAGCAATGCTGGGAGCTAGTGGTAAGGGGTACTCATCTTCACTAGAAGATCCAGGTTTATTAAGCCAAAGAAGAGGGGATGCTTCAGTATGTGCTACTGCAGCAATTCCTGATATGATTAATGACAGGCCTGGTTCGCTAAGTGCTGATGCTCCTCCAGTGCCAAAATTGGAATCGAACATTCTGTTTGTTGATGGACTCCCTACTGATTGTACCAGAAGAGAAGTAGGCCGTATCCTTATTGGAGATTATCAAGGTGCATTGAGCACATTTTTCATAGTAAATATCTATAACACATGAATGCATAGCATACTCTCTGGTTACCTGTTTGCTATTATCTTTAAGCAATGATTATAATTTTTTTCCAGAGGAAGGACAGCTACCGACTAACGTTATGCAGATTTAGCTGGAAATGTGTCTGCAAATCAATTGGTTACACTGCTATCTCATGTGATTTCATTATTTTATCCTTGATTTATTCTCAAAGATCTCTTTCGTCCTTTTATTGGCTACAAAGAAATCAAAGTTGTTCACAAGGAGGCCAGAAATGTAAGTTTGTTGCTGCAATACTTGTGTCTTATAGATTTATCATTGCCGAGCTTAAAGTAGGAGGTGACTTGTGTGGTGCCATTTACCTTTAGTCTCAGTTTCTCTGTATTTCAAATTTAAAATTTACAAACAGAAAGATGCTCGCAATTTTCCATTATCGTTGGTGACTAGTATAACCAAGCAATTTAGTCTAGACCTCTCATGATGATGGTACTGTCTAGGAGCATTTAGTCCCCCACCTTATATACTGATGCTATTTTCTTTGAATGTCATATCCTTTTCTTTGATTTATGTTTCTATATTTGGTGATCTTACTTTTAAGTAAATTGCAGGGTAGAGATAGGGCTACTGTCTTATGCTTTGTGGAATTCACTGATGCAAAGTGTGCTGGGACTGCCATGGAAGCTCTTCAAGGTAAACTATACAAAGAATGAACGTTACCTGGTTTTATCAGCTTACTTTACGATTTAGTTTTATACAGTGAAATTGAAAAACATTACCACATTAAAGCAACCTTTTATACGAATTTTCATGTAGTGTTTAATATAATACTTTATTTGCAATAATCTTATTGGAAAATATGAAAAACATGAAATGCTCAACCAGAAGTTATGTGGATGTTCCTGCAGGTTACAAGTTTGATGATAAGAAGCCTGACTCCCCTACCTTGAAAATCCAATTTGCACACTTTCCTTTCCCACCTCCGTCTGATCGTGATGGGGAAAGGATTGGGATCCAGCACTAGCCACAAGTGCTTGGTTGGAATGAAGTCAGAACTATTTGCCTTGGATTTGTTATGAATCAGAGAGAAACACACCTCTGATTCTGGATTACATGGACAAACTGCTAGCACTACAGTTACACTTCTGTGGATTAGAACAGTCTAGGAAATGAGTTGTTTCTCACGTTGGCATTGTGGGCTGTTTACATGTGTTGTAAATATAGTCCTCATGTAACTATAGTAAGTCAATTATAGGGCTGTCAATTATAAGGCTGATCGAGGAGCTAATTTCTAGGGAGTTAATGACAGCTTAATTTAATTTTAAGGATTTAGATTGATCCTAGACCTATATATATATGCTGTACTCATGCACTTCAATATGTGAAATATATTATTCTATTCTCATATTTCTACATGGTATCAGCACTTGCTGCCTAAATTAAGTAGCTGCTGCCATTAACCTAGTGAGCTATCACATTTTTTTTTTTTCACTGCTGACCTAGTAAGCTGCCGTGACCTTGTTGCCCTATTTTCTTCCTTTCTTTTGTTTAATGGCTGACGGAACAGAGAAGAAAACTATGATCTCTGTTGTTATTATAGTTCATGATGCAAACTTTACAGCCCAAAAGGCTAGTCCCGCCTCTTCCTCATCTAAGAAGTCTATAACGGTGTCTATTGACGACTTTGCTCAATTTACTCGGTATCAATCCTCGCTTAAAGTCTTTCAATCCACCTCTAGTTATCGGTGATGAGACAGTAAACCTATTACATGTCCTATGTCATCCTCTTTCAAATGGGTCATTGATTCGGGTGTTACGGACCACATGACGAGTAATAAAGATATTCTCTCCTCCTTTGTTTCACGTAAAAATCTTTCTAGTATGACTTTGGCTGATGACTCAACCACATCCGTTATAGGAATTGGAACAGCTCTTCCTACATCATCTCTCTCTTTGTTATCCGTCTTATGTTTATCTAATTTTTCATTTAATCTATTATTAGTAAGTAAAATCACTCGAGCTCTCAATTGTTGTGTCTTATTTTTTTCTTGATCATTGTCTATTTTAGGATCTTACAACGGAAAAGATTATTGGTAGAGGATATGAGTTTGGAGGGCTGTATCATCAAACTATATCACTACCTATACTACGATCTATCTATCACTTGTTCCAGTATTATAACACCTTTAGAGTTGCATTATCGGTTAGGGCATCCTTCTTTGTTTGTTTTAAAGAAATTGTTTTCTCGGTTTTAGAATTTATCTCGCTTTAGAATGTGAGTTATGTCGGTTTGCTAAACATTATTGTGTGTCGTATTTTCCTAGAGTCAATAAACCGGTTATGTCACCCTTTGAGTTAGTTTATTTCGATGTTTGAGGTCCTTGTCCAGATGATTTCTACAATTGGTTTTCGATATTTTGTCATATTTGTTGATGACTATTCTCGTGTTACTTGGTTATATTTAATGAAAAGTCGATTTGAATTGTTCTCTATATTTTGTGCTTTTTATGCTGAATTTCGAACTCAATTGAATGTTTCGAGTATATGTTTTGAGGAGTGATAATGCGAAAGAGTATTTCTCCGAATCATTTAATACCTATATGATACAAAATGGAATTCTTCATCAATCATCATGTGTCAACACATCACCTTAAAATGGTGTTGCTTGAACGAAAAAATAGACATTTACGAGAGTTGCTAGTCCTTTTCCAAATGAAAGTTCCTAAATAATTTTGGGCTGATGTCGTGTCTATAACATGTTTCTTAATCAATCAATTACTCTCATCTATTCTTTACGGTGATAATCCTCATTCTGTTTTATTCCCTTTTTAGTCTTTATTTCCAATAGAATCATGTGTTTTTGGTTGTACATGTTTTGTTCGTGATGTTAATCCCAAAGTGTTTAAGTTAGATCCAAAATCTCTCGAGTGTCTTTTTGGGGTATTCTCGTCTTCGAAAGGTTACGGGTGTTATTCTCCTATTTTGGGTCGTTATTTGATTTCAACTGATGTAATATTTTTTTAGACTATTTCATTTTTTCATGAACCTATTACATATAATTGTGCGGGGAGGAAGATGATATTCTTATATATATCGTGATTACAACTACCGAATCTTATATATCCATAAACCACCTATCACTCAAGTTTACTCTCATCGTACTCATCCATTAGATTTACAATCAAATCGGGACTCGCATCCTCTATTAGCTCTTCCCTCTACGGATCCTAGTCTTGATCTTCCCATCGCTTTTCGTAAAGGTAAATGACAATGTTGTGATCCTATCTCTTCATTTGCTTCTTATGATCATTTATCTCTTTCTTTGCACTCGCTTTATTGCTTCCTTAGATTTGGTGTCCGTACCTAAAACATTACATGAGGCTTTGTCCCATCCTAATTGGCAAACTGTTATGGAGGAAGAAATGATGGCTTTAGATAGTAATAGTACTTAGGAATTGGCGCATCTCCCAAAAGGTAAACAAGCTATTGGTTGTAAATGGGTGTATGTTGTCAAGGTTAATCCCGATGGTTTTATGGCTTGTCTTAAAACTCAATTAGTTGCAAAAGGATATGCTCAAACATGTGTTGTAGATTATTTTGATACTTTTTCTCCTGTTGCTAAACTTGCATATGTCCGTTTGTTTATCTCTCTCACTCGCTACTAATGGTTGGCTCTTACATTAGTTAGATGTCAAGAATGCTTTTCTTCATGGTGATTTGCGGGAGGAAGCCTATATGGAGCAACCACACGGGTTTGTTGCTTAGGGGAGTATGGGAAATTCTATAAACTTCGAAAGTCTTTGTATGGGCTAAAACAAAACCTTCATGCTTGGTTTGGATGATTTAGTGTCGTAGTTAAAGAATTTCATATGAAAAAGAGTACTTGTGACCATACTCGTTTTCTACCAATGGTCAAAAGCTCGGTATTATCTTGTTAATTGTATATATTGATAATATTGTGATTAATGGTAGTGATGATTCCGGTATTTTAGCCCTTAAGTCTTTTCTCCATACCAAATTTCAAACAAACGCTTGCATTTATTGAAGTTTTTCTTGCGTATTGAAGTTACCGAGTCCAAAAAGGGTATTTTTCTTTTTTAACAAAAGTATATTCTTAATCTACCGAAAGAAATTGAAAAATTAGGAGCTAAACCTTCTAGTATACCAATGGCTACTAATCTACGACTTACAACGGATGATGGGGAGTTATTTGTTAATCCCGAGAGATATCGCGAGGTTAGTTGAAAACTAAATTATCTCATGGTAACTCGTCCCGACATCGCATATCCCGTTAGCATTGTGAGTTAGTTTATGTCATTTACTCGAGTTACTCATTGGATAGCATTATAGCATATCTTATGTTATTTCAAAGGGACTTCGAGTCGTGGTTTACTCTATAGTAATCATGGTCATTCCACTATTGAGTGTTTCTCAAATACGGATTGAGCTGGATCTAAGATTGACGGAAGATCTACTACGAGTTATTGTGTCTTTGTTGGTAGAAATTTGGTGTTATGAAAAAGCAAGAAGTAGGATGTTGTGTCTCGATCTAATGCGGAATCGGAGTATGAGTTGTGGCCCAATTCACTTGTGAACTTGTGTGGATATCTCAATTGTTAAATGAGATCGGTGTGACAATCAAGTTGCTCTTCATATCGCATCAAATCCAGCTTTTCATGAAAGAACTAAGTATATCGAGATCAATTGTCACTTTATCCGTGAGAAAATTCAACAAGGATTGATCTCTACAAGTCATATCAAAAATAGAGAACAACTAGATGATATATTCACCAAAGCTTTAAAGGATCCTAGGATTGATTATATTTGTAACAAGCTGGGCATGATTAACATCTATGCTCCAGCTTGAGGGGAAATGTTGTAAATATAGTAAGTCCACTATATGATTGATTCTCATGTAAATATAATAAGTCAATTATAGGACTCGTCAATTATAAGGCTGATTGAGAAGTTAATTTCTAATAAGTTAATGACAACTTGATTCTAAGGATTTAGATTGATCCTAGACTTATATATATATGTATGTATATATTGTACTTATGCACTTCAATATGTGAAATTTATTATTCTATTCTCATATTTATGTTTGAAGCTCGAGCATTTATGATGATATGGGAATTTTATTGTGTATTGTTGCTCAACAAATATCGAGTGATCAAATTATTTGATGTAAAAGTCATATTTGAGTTATGATGTTCCTAATTATAAAAGGAATGTTATCCAGAAGGATTTAACCTTGAATTGCATAATCTTCGTTCTATTTCATGGTTTATTTCGGTGATTGTTGGTTAGATGTGCTGCAAAGCTTGGAAACCGAGCAAAACCAAACCTCTTGCCATTCAGTTAGACTATGCTCAAGCTAGTTTTAGTTCAACCACTCATTGGGATACGCTGTTTGAAAATCCACCTTTGATTTTACCTGATTTACGTTAAAAAAATGTTGCTGGACTGAGCTCATTTCATATTTGGCAGGTTGCTTTATTGCTGTTCCGAAAGGGCCGAGAGAGAGAAGAGAGAGAGAGGCGGGGCATGGAAAGCTCCCATGAACTAGAATACTAGAAGTCATTAGTCATAAGTTGACTTGATCTATAGAAGGGTGAGTGTCCATCAATATTTAAAGTTAGCCTGCTCAAACTATTTATTTAGTTTTTCAAGATTGCATCTCTACCCAAGTGACCTTTTGAGGGATCCAAACTAGTAATAACAATATTTATTCAGAAAAAAGGGGGCAAACTTAGGGCTACCTTAAGTTTTCCCCTTCCCCATTTTTAATGTTTTAACCATTGCCAACGGGATTATTATAGTTCATTACAATTGTTGCAACCTAAGAGGTTAAATCCCACATTTGTCATTACATCATTAATCTAAGAAAGCAAAAAGAATAGAAACATATGGTGCTCCCCTAATCCCTACAGCCAATCCAAGCAAGTAGTGGGATTTTGGATAACATTAATGAATGATATTATTAGAACGAATTTAGAAGTAGGGTCAAAATGAAGGTTAATT